ATTTTGACAGGTTAGTGTCTTTGGTTTCAAACTGACCTGTTACTGATGTTATGGTGGCCCACATTAATGACCCTAACCCTAACCCTAACCTTAACCCTGATCCTAACCCGGACCCTGATCATAAACCTTTTGTCTACAGGACATATTTCTACAGATACAGCAGCTGAATGGATGGTTTTGTTGTCTTTTTTCCCTCTCTTCCTGTTTTAGGGATCTCTCTTCTTTTCAGCGCAGGTTATTGTTTCATTTAATTATTATTATTATTTATTGTTTACCTTTCTCTATTCTCTCATCCTTTTTTAATTTAATCTTTTGTTACTTTTTTTCTTTATTTTTTTCTATTTTCCTGTCCCCCCGGTCAGGTTTGGCATTAACCATCTTACTTCTGTAACAAAAAATAAATCTAAAATAAATAATAAAGCAGTTTTGGATGATCAAGGGAGGCTTCTCACCCTCCCTTGCTAACCTTAACCCTAACCCTAACCCTAACTCTAACCCTAACCCTAAATCGGATGACAAACGATGTCCTAACCCTAACCCAAACCTGACAGGCCTCCCTTGGCAAAGCGAAAGTGTCGGGCAGAAAACGGCACTCAGATTACAACTCTGTTGCCATAATACTAAACATGACAAGGGGTTTAATAAAAATAAATAACTACATTTAAAAAAAAAGAAAACTAAAGGGCAGAACGAGGCTGGACTAAGTGAAACAGAGCTCTGCTGCTCTCTGGATTTAAAAGAGGAAGTGGACGAGGACCGAGAGTGTCTTTTGTCCTCTAAATGTTTAAGACTGTACAAACATTTTCTCCTCACTAAAGAGCCTTTTCAGAGGGGCCTTATCCCTTTAGAGCACTTCCTGCTGCTATTAGATAAAAGCCGGTTTATCCTTCTGGCAAAGTGCGCCACGGAAAACATCCAAAGCATCGCAGCGGAAATAAATAAACCAAACTGAAATCGATAAATAGTGCTGTGCTCTCTCCCTGATCCCTGATCCACTCGTCTATTCCAGCGTACGGACGCAGAAATACGATACAGAAAGCAGAAGCTGCCTGTGGTTAGAAAACATTAGAGGCCAGTTTAAATATGTTCACACCACAAAGACAAAGTTTAAACCCACAGATCATCCGGACCTTTGAGCATCTCCATCCTGTTAGCCTCTAAAAAATGACCTGAAAGACCTGACTATGGTCCATAAGTCTGAATTATCTGGGCAATAGGTTTTAAAAAGTCATTGGTTTCTTATTCTGAGAGAAAATAAAAACAACTCTTCTTCTGTGTCTCAACAAACCAACATTCGACCCTTTTTTGCTCATTATACTTGCACTAAATAACTGGTTTAGGTATCTATCCCAGCTTTGTAAAGGATGGAACAGATTAAAAATGGTTTCTATAATAGGTTAAAAACATTTGGAATATTTTTTTAAATTCATTTGTTTGAGTCCCTTCACATTCCTCGTCTGAATTGAGGGGATTTTGTTCTTAATCTTTACCGTTTGAACTGTCTGTTTAAATAAGAAGAACATAAAGTCCTTCATGTATTCGGATTTTATTAATTATTTACTGTTCAATTGTTCCCCTACTTCCTTCTGCCACTGTGACTGCTCCCGTTTCTTTGTTATTTCATGAGATATTTTGTTGAAAGCGAACTGCTCATGAGATCGTCCCCTCATTCCCGGCTGAAAGAGAAAAACGAGAGTCACCGAGTTCATAAACAGAGAACAGTCTGTCCTCGGCCTCCATTATTTACAGATATGCTTTGCTGCCATTCTTAAGGTCGAATGTTGCTCAGGTGACTCAGGTTTCATCATCTCTGCCTGCAGGTGATGGGCTCCATGGCAAAGTGAAGCAAATCAGGGAAATTAATTCACAACTCGGTTTTTTATGTACCTGTTTTTTATGCGCAATTTGATCAGCACATTATTTTCAAATTTATACAATGGATATTAGAATTGACATACATTTATCTAACATGTAAAGTTTCCATTTTTCTATTTCTAATTCTTAGTTTTTGTCATTATTGCTTTTTCTGTCACTCACAGCAATTTATGGACAAAATAGCTCCTGATTTTAGAATTAATTTTGAAAGATTTTCACATCAAAACACTGATTTTACTTTTGATAGTTTCTTACAGAAATGCTTGGGTATTTTAAGGCCAATATGACCTCGAACAGTAGGCATCAAATTGTACATAAATCTAATAAACAGTGCATTTAAAAAGAGTTGTTGGATTTTGAGATTTATCCCTTTTAGGTTTATGTGCGCATCACATGGAAGTATCCAAACTTTTTACTGGATGTGTTGGAAAACCAGATTAAATTCAAATTAAACTGCGTCTATTCAGTCCTGATGCAATAAATAAAAAAATAAGACACTTTCTGTCCTTTGTGCACATCCATCTAAGGAATGACATACATTTATCTATTACTGACTGCATCTAGTTTTTTGCTGTTAGCTTATCTGCTAACCTCATAACTTATAGTAAAACGGCCCCTTCTCGCTAACATTAGCGAGTAAAATAAAAGCAGACGTTTGGTCACAAAGACAATTAGTGTAAAACAGCCGCCAGACGCACCTGTCATGTAATTAGTCCACTTGTAGAGAATCCCCTCCATGGCGTCTCCCACCATTGGCTAATGTTGCTACCAGTTAGCTTACCGTTGACGGGCTAATTGAGGATGCTAGCTAGCGAGCTAGCAAACGTTAACGGTCGCGTTAACGAACCGTCATTAGTTTGACGGCGCGAGGGAAAATAACTGTCAGCGCGAGCTGCCGTTTGGCAAAACATCCGAAAAAAGCAATCAGAGACGATGTGTCAGAGCAAAGATGTTAATAACCTCAGCTGTCAGTCAGCTGGAAGAAAAAAATGTCAACAAAACAGCAGCTTTTTGTACGGAACCCCAAAGGCGCCATTTTCTGATGGAAAAAAAAAAAGCGTATGATCGCCAGATTTTTGCTCGCGTGTACTTGTACGTTTATACAAACAGTTTATTTTATTCTTAAACTCTCAGTTTATTCTTAAACTCTTTTGCATTTATAGGACAACTGCAATAACAGTGATTGTTGACTTTTTTCCTATTTATTTGTAAAAAAATGTCCCCCGCAAAAAGCTGAAAACCTGTTGTGATGCATCACCATGGCAACCGGGATTGTTTACATAGAGCAGATTTCTTGGGTCCGACTGATGCCTGAATGAATTCCCTGAAAATAGTGTTGATAGTGACGGAACAAAATGGAGAAAAGGGGCAGAGGAAGTTTAAGCCATTGTTGGTAATCAGTTGCGGACAAAATGGTTAAACTTTGAGGAGATTGATTTGTTTTAATCCAACTTTTAACGCCGTTAAACCCAGAAGACTGCTGGTTCCAGTACCAAAAATGAAGGAATAAATTAATGTCTTTTTTGCCATTAAACAAGTTTGGCAAAATTATGCATGTAAAACTTAATGAACAGTAATAACACAGAGATAAGTAGATTTTTTTTTTTTAGGAAAAAAAGAACAAAAAAACACCCCAAACACTCAGGAATGTGTGTGGGGTTTAGTGGAATTAGTTCTGGGGTAGAAACTGAATTAATCCCTCTGGTTTGACAGATAAATGACTGATCTTTCCACTGACTCCTATTAACCTGCAGCACACGGTACTTAAGGAGTGGAAAAGTCTCAAAATGTGGCTTTTGGACTGTGAAACTGTTAAAATACAACTAAAAAGTTTGGCGATTTAACCCTTTACAGCCTGATCCAAGAAAATTAGGAAGAACATTGGATTTTTTTTAGTCAAAAGTCTTTCTTTGGACCCTCAACAACATATGAAGAAAAAAAACAGAAATTATTTTGATCAAATTAGCATGCAATAAGTCAAAAATATATGTTGGTGTAGTCTTCTACTGGCTGTTATCAGGTATATCTGAATGTGTTCAACAGGGGTTTGAGCAAAGCTTTTACCACTGAATGATGCAAAAAGTCTCACATCCAAAAGACTTCAGAAACCGTATGAATCAAATATGACACATTTGGCATTATAGGGTTAAATGTACACATCTGTTGCCGTAGTGGGTCTGTTTGTTTTTAAAAAAACACACAACCAGGCGACCCAGATTGAGGCCAGAAAGAACCTGTCTGTTTTCGAAAAAAGGGTCCTGCTTTCTTTGTTAGCTTCAGCTCTAAAACCCTGACATCGTCCCCAGACTTTGAACCATGAGCTCTCAGGAGGTGTTTAAGGAGCTGCTCCTGGAGGGGACCCTGTGCGACGCCGTGGTCCGGGCGGGAGGCGTGGACTTCAGGGCCCACCGCATCATCCTGTCCAGCTGCAGCTCCTACTTCAGGTGAGCCACAATCAGCCGTTTCCACAGGTTCAAAGCTCTAACTATAGGGACGATTTAAAAAATGCAGTTTAATGACTCAGAAACTCAAATCTATCTATCTATCTATCTATCTATCTATCTATCTATCTATCTATCTATCTATCTATCTATCTATCTATCTATCTATCTATCTATCTATCTATCTATCTATCTATCTATCTATCTATCTATCTATCTATCTATCTATCTATCTATCTATCTATCTATC